ATATTAGGCATTCAAGTACAGCTATTAATATTTTGCTATATATTTTTTTGGTTATTTTAAATTCAACTTTATTGAGATATAATTTACATAAAATAAAATTTACCAATTTTAAGTGTTGGATGAGTTTTGGCTAATGTATACTCCTGTAACCTCTGTCATAATCAAGAAAAAAATATATATAGTTTTTTTTGTTTTTTTCATCCTCACCTGAGGACATTTTTCCATTTTTTGTACAGATAGAGTGGGAGGGAGAGAGGGGAAGAGAGAGAGAGAGAGAGAGAGAAACATCGATGTGAAAGGGACACATCGAGTGGCTGCCACCCGCACGACCAGCCAGGGCCGGGGACAAACTGCAACCGAGGTACATGCCCTTAGCGGGAACCGAACCTGGGTCTCTGTGGACCGCAGGCCGACGCTCTAACCGCTGAGCCAAACTGGCCAGGGCTATATAGTTTTTTAATATGTGTATACTGTTCTAGGTTCATGTGACCATCATCACAATCAGAATGTAGAACAGTTCCATGATGCCAGAATATTCCCACTTGTTGTCTCTTCGTGGTCAAACCCTCTCTTTACCCCAAACCTCTGGCAGCAATGCTCTGTTCTTCATCCCTATAATTTTGCTTTTTCCAGAGGTCACATAAATGGAATCATACAGTTTGTAATCTTTTGAGGCTAGCTTCTTTTCCTCGGTGTAGTAATGTCTTTGCAATATATTCATGTTGCTGTGTATATCGCAGTAGCTAGTATTATTCCATCATATGGATGTACAGTTTATTCTTTCACCTTTTGAAGGACATTTGGGTTCTTTCTGTATTTTGGTGCTTGTTAATGAAGCTGCAATAAACATTCACATACAGGTTTTTAGGTAAACATAGGTTTTCATTTCTTTAGGGTAAATAGGAGTGGAATTGGCGAGTCTCATAGGATGAGTGTAGTTTTTTTGGGTAAGAAATGGCCAAATTGTTATCCATAGTGCTTGTGCCATTTTGCATTCTCATCATCAGAGTTTGAGAATTCCAATGGTTCCATATCCTCATCAGCATTTGATATTATCAATCACAAATTTTTTTTTTAGCTATTCTAGTAGGTATATAGTGGTATCTCATTGTAGTTTTCATTTGCATTTTCCTAATGGCTACAGTTGTTGAAAATCTTTTCTTGTGCTTTGTCATCTGTGTGTTTTCTGTGAAGTTTTTTTTCAAATATTTTGCTTTTTTAAAAAATTGGGTTGTTTTCTTACAGTTACATTTTGAGAGTTACTTATGTGTTCTAGCTACTGTTTCTGTGTTGGATATGTGATTTGCAAATATTTCTCATATTGTGTTGCTTGTCTTTTCATTCTCTTAACATTGTTTTTTTTTTGTTTTGTTTTTTTATCCTCACCTGAGGACATTTTTCCATTTTTTGTACAGATAGAGCGGGAGGGAGAGAGAGGAAGAGAGACAGAGAGAAACATCTATGTGAAGGGACACATCGAGTGGCTGCCACCCGCACGACCAACCAGGGCCGGGGACACACTGCAACCGAGGTACGTGCCCTTAACGGGAACCGAACCCGGGTCTCTCTGTACCGCAGGCCGACGCTCCAACCGCTGAGCCAAACCGGCCAGGGCTTAACACTGTGTTTTTGAGAGCAAACGTTTAAAATTTTGATGAAGCCCAATTTATTGATTAAAAAAAGTTTTTTATGGATGATGCTTCACTGTTATAGCTAAGAACTCTACTGAGTCCTAGGTTCCAAAGACTTCCTCCTATGTATTCTTCTAAAAGTTATATAATTTTACCTTGCTTCTTTTGTGATAGATTTTTTTTTTTTTTTTTTTTTTTTTAATCCTCACCCGAGGACATTTTTCCATTTTTTGTTCAGGTAGAGTGGGAGGGAGAGAGAGGAACAGAGAGAGAGAGAGAAACATCGATGTGAAAGGAACACATCGAGTGGCTGCCACCCGCACAACCGACCAGGGCCGGGGACAAACTGCAACCGAGGTACATGCCCTTAGCGGGAACCGAACCCGGGTCTCTCCGGACCGCAGGCCGACGCTCTAACCGCTGAGCCAAACCGGCCAGGGCTGTGATAGATTAATTGACCATATAAATGTGGGTTTATTCCTGGGCTCTCTATTCTATTCCATTGATATATGTGTCTGTTTTTACTCTGGTACCATACCATTTTGATTACTGTAGCTTTATAGTATAGTTTGAAATCAGGGAGCATGATACCTCCAGCTTTGTAATTCTTTCTTGAGATTGCTTTGGTTATTCAAGGTCTTTTGTAGTTCATATCAATTTTAAGATTCTTTGTTCTAGTTCTGTGAAAAAATGCTGTTGATATTTCGATAGGGATTGCATGGACTCTGTAGATTGCCTTGGGTAGTGTGGACATTTTAACCATATGAATTCTTCCAATATACCATGAGCACGGTATAGCCTTCCATTTATTTGCACCTTGTTCAGTTTCTTTTATCAGTGTCTTATAGTTTTCAGAGTACACATCTTTCACCTCCTTGGTTAAATTTATTCCTAATATTTTATTGTTTTTGATGCAATTGTAAATGGGGTTGTTTTCTTAATTTCTCTTTCTGATGGCTTGTTATTTGTGTATAGAAACACCACAGATTTCTGAATATTAATTTTGTATCCTGTAACTTTACTGAATTCATTTATTAGTTCTAATAGTTTTTTGGTGGAATCCTTCCTCCTTACTTATTAGAGAGTTAGTTGCAGACATCTTTTTTTTTAATTGATTTTTTTTTAGAGACAAAGGGAGAGAGAGAGATAGAAACATTGATCTGCTGCCTTCTGCCTGCCCCCTTTTGGGGGTTGCACCCACAACCCAAGCATGTGCCCTGACCAGGAATTGAACCGGGACTTCTCTGTCCATGAGATGGATGTTTAATCCACTGAGCCACACCGGTCGGGCGTTGCAGACATCTTGATAGTACCCTCAAGTACTTCAGCATGTATCTCTTTTTTAGGACATTCTCCTACAAAATCATAATACTATTACCTAATATAAAGTTGTTATTCAAATTTCCCCAGTTATCTTCACATAGCTTTATCTTTTGAATTCAAGATTCACTGTATGATTTCATTGCACTTAGTTGTCATGCCTCTAGTACTTCCATTTATTTAGAAGAGTTCTATAACCATTTTTTTTCCTTTATTGATTTAGAGAGAGAAGAAGTGAGAGGGAGAGACAGATAGCAACATCAGTGAGAGAGAACATCGATTGGCTGCCTCCTACATGCCCCCCACTGGGGATTGGGCCCACAACCTGGCCATGTGTCCTGACCAGGAATCGAACTGGCGACCTCTTGGTGCATGGGTCGATGCTCAACCACTGAGCCCTACCGGCTGGACCCCTAACCATTTTTGACTTAAGATTGTCATTAAGAATTTTTTTTATTATTATTTTTTTAATCCTCACCCGAGGACATTTTTCCATATTTTGTTCAGATACAGTGGGAAGGAGAGAGAGGAAGAGAGAGAAGTATCGATGTGAAAGGGACACATCAAATGGCTGCCACCCGCATGACCAACCAGGGCCGGGGACAAACTGCAACCGAGGTACGTGCCCTTAGCAGGAACCGAACCCGTGTCTCTTTGGACCACAGGCTGACGCTCTAACCGCTAAGTCAAACAGGCCAGGGCATCATTAGGAATTTTGAAGATCCAACCCTGGCCGGTTTGGCTCAGCAGTTGGAGCGTTGGCCTGCAGACCAGAGAGTCCCAGGTTCGGTTCCCGCTAGGGGCACATACCAAAAAAAAAAAAAGAATTTTGAAGAGTCCAGACCTGTTGTTTTGCTAAACGTCCTTCAATTTGTATGTGTCTGATTGACAACTTTTTTTTTTTTTTAATCCTCACCTGAGGACATTTTTCCATCCTTTGTACAGACAGAGTGGGAGGGATAGAGAGAGAGGGAAACATCTATGTGAAAGGGACACATCGAGTGGCTGCCACCCGCACGACCAACCAGGGCCGGGGACAAACTGCAACCAAGGTACATGCCCTTAGCGAGAACCGCACCTGGGTCTCTCCGGACCGCAGGCGGACGCTCTAACCGCTGAGCCAAACCGGCCAGGGCTGATTGACAACTTTTGATTAGATTCAGGGTAGAAGTATTTTAAGTGAAATTGTTTACTTTCAGCGATTTATTTCTTTGATTAGATTCAGGGTAGAAGTATTTTAAGTGAAATTGTTTACTTTCAGCGATTTATTTCAGGAGGCCCAAGTTGTCAGATTGTCTCACTGGGGTGATATTAAATATAGCTGTCCCTCTGTATTTTGTGTTTTGCATTTGGATTCAACCAAACATGAATATATTTTGATTGAAAATATTTTTAAAAATGTAGGTTATATTCAAATACTACACCATTTTATATAAGGGGCTAGAGCATCTACTGATTTTGGTTTTCATGGGGGGTTCCTGGAACCCATCCCCCATGGATACCAAGGGACGACTGTATATGCTCTTGATTAATGTATTATCTGCTAGGTTTCTAAATTTTAAATGTACCTTTTCCTTTTGTAATTAATAAGCTATCTGTGGGGTGATATCTTGAGACTGTATGAATGAATATGTTGTCCAGTGATCTCTCCTCTAATGATTTTAGCATTGATGATTCTTTCCTGAGTCAGTTATTACTATAGTGATTGTGTAGTGGTGATTTTCTGTTCCTGTTATTCTTCTACATTTGTTAACTGGATTTATTTGTAAAGAACCGATTCCTCTCTTCTTTTCTTTCTTTACTTATTGTCAGTGTGGGGTCTTGAATTCTTTCTTTACTCGGTCATTATTTATTCTGATGCTCAGATTGTCCTAAATTTTGTTAGAAGAAACCACTTAATTCTGGGTCGGTACAATTGTAGCAAAAGTAAGCTTTCTCTAGTAGTATTTCACATTTGAATCCATTTGTAGTCTTGGAAGCTATGAGAATTAATGTAGGTAACATCCCTTAGACCTTACTTTTGATAACTCATCTGTGCTTATTTTCCAGCAAATCACTGAATTGAAGAAAGAAAACTTTAACCTAAAGCTTCGCATCTATTTCCTTGAGGAAAGAATGCAACAGGAATTTAATGGCCCCATAGAACACATCTATAAAACCGTGAGTGTTTCCCTTCTCACTGCCATCCCTGGGGTCTTTTCTCATAGTCCTCCAAGCAGAAATTCGATTAATATTTGTGCTCAGAGTTACCATGAATAGATAGAGCTGCTCTCATTTAATTTGAATTGATTATGGGGAGCATAAAGATAATAGGATGACCTTAATATTAAGCAAAGAGATATAAGATTAATTTTAAAGGAGTCTTTTTCTCTTCCTAAAATCAGACTTCTGATTTACTATATCTCAATTGCCATTTTAAAACTATTTATAATCTAGACAGAGACAGTGAAATGATAGAATATCTTTGGAATTGAATCTTATTGTTACCAACTCATTTATGTAACTGTAGGCAAGTCACTTCAGCTCCCTGGGCTTGCTCCAGAGTTAGGTGATAATCCCTGTGTCATAGGGTTATTAGTGTGGATTGAAATGAGGTGACAGATGAAAAGCCCCGTCATGCAGTCACGCAGTCGGTGCTGGACAGTGATCATCATTGTCTTAGGAGGCTTCCACGGGCAGCCGAGAGTTAGGATCGCCAGTGTTTCTGTGATGTGGCTCTTCTGTATGCTTGATGTGCTCACTTATAGCTGTCAGAAAAAGAGTGTTTTCATCTGAAGTCTTGGCCTGGAGGCCTCTGCCTGAAAACAAACCTTGGTTTTGAAAGTTGAAAAAAGAACTTGGCTTTCTTGAAGAGACATGAGTACAAGCAATATTTCAGTGCCTATTTCTTGGCTTTCTCCAGTAGATTAGCCCTTGGCCTGGGAATTATTCCATTTTTTCTCTTCTGAAGTTTGCACCAGTGGAAACTTTTGAAGGAGGAAAGGAACTCTGCTTGAGTTTCAGCGGATGAACTTAAATGGACTTGTCTTGAAGAGGGATTGTATTGTACTTCTGAGACCTTTTAAGAGTTGAAAAGCTCCCTTGTCCCTCAGGACACAATTTTTTCCTTCATCATGGGGGTGGAAAGACAATGAGGACATCCTTTTTTCTGGAAGGACGTGGTGATGTAATCAGATTTTTAAAGAAAAACCAATAGCCTAGAACATTTTGTATGTAAGTATGGTTATCATCTGTCTCAGAAGGTCTAGGGTGATAGGAAGTAAAAATGTGTTAATTGCCTTCTCTGTATCAGGCGCTGTCCTGGGCCTTTGTACGTCATCACCTTATTGTAATTCTCAAGATAGCCCTTTGCAGTGGAGATTATCCTCACTTACAGGACAGGAAACTGAAGCTCAGGGAAGTTCAGTAACTTGCTTGATGTAATGGCTACTGTGTGAGGTGGGTTTTGAACCCAGGTCTGCCTACTCATTGTACCATATTGTTTCAGCTATTCTTTCCCATTGTCTGATTAGAAGACCTGATTTTATTCACTTTTATTTCAATTTAAGTTTTTGTTTAGGTATACATGATTCAAAATTCAAAAAGCATGAAAGGTATACACTGAAAGACTTTCTTCTACTCTGTCTCCTGGGTCTAACCAATGTTGTTAGTTCATTAGGCAGAGACATTTTGTGTATGTACAAGCGTGTGTGTGTGTGTGTATACCCCCTTTTATATAAATGGAAGTATGTTCTGCTCTGTGTCTTGCATTTTTCCTTAACAATATCTTGGATATCTTTTCTCTAGAGTGGCCTAAGAGCTTTTTTATTCTTTTTTTTAGTCCTCATTTGAGAACATGTTTTCCATTGATTCTAGAGAGAGAGGAAGAGAGAAACATCTATCCATTGCCTCCTGTACATGCCCTGACTGGGGATTGAACCCACAACCTAGGCATGAGCCTTGACCAGGAATCGAGCCCACAACCCTTTGGTGTGTGGGGCAGTGCTCCAACCATTTATGCCACCTGGCTAAGGCTATTCTTTTTTTATAATGATATTCATTTTATGTTAATAAGGTGTCTTGATTTTTGGTTTAGAAATTATGATCACCATGTATATAAATTTATAACGAGGTATTGGGCTTGTGAAAAATAGTCTAGTGGACATGTTAGCTGTCTGTTCTTTTAAATTTGCTAGGCTAGAGTGCCAGTTGATTCATCAGAAAACAAAGCCCTCAGAATCTGTGATATCAGCTCTTATACAGCTCTCCGCCGTGCGGAGATCTGGCAAGGAATCCTCGGTTTGAAGGGTGTTTCTACAGTTTTCACAAAACCGCAGTTGAAGACATTGTGCACTGTCACTCAGCGTCCTTTATGCAAAAACCACTTTCTTCTGGAGCAAGTTCTGCTGGGTAGTTGACTTCTTTAGTTCCTGTTGTTTGACACTGAAGAAAAGAACACATTCTGAGCTTGTCTCCAGGCTCTTCTCTTGCGTTAGCTCACTTAGTCCTGAAAGTGCCCCTGTCAGGTGGGCTTTCTGCTTTTCTTTTGCCGCTTGGGGGATCTGAAAGGAGAAGCCTTGCTGTCTCACCTCCTGGACTCCTGCTTCTGTGCATAGTTGCAGGCTCACACTTCCAGGTTTCTGTTTGGTGTTAGCATGCAGGCAGGCTGTGTCTGCCTCGTTGACCATTGTCGGCGCTTGGCGCAGGGCTCGGCCGCCACAGGGACTGGCACATGTCTGTGAAGCGAAGGAATGAGTACACGAACATCTCCTGGCTTACTGCGGTTTCCTCCTGGTGAAGAGTGGAGGCAGAATTTGAACCCATGTCCTCTGGTTCCAAGCCCCTGACCTTTCCTTTCTGGCTGACCTCTCAACCTGGGGATCCCCCAGGGCTGTTTGGCTGAAAGGAGGGAGGCATGTCCTCTGAGATTGTTAATTTTACTGGAAATGCTATTTTTATTTAAAATGATACACATGTATTATGGAGTAGAATATAAAATTGGGATAAAATAAACAGGAGCAAGAGTTCAAAGAAAACCTAGATTTATAGCGGTTATCTGCACACTGCACCCAGACCCCTGTTTATACCATATGGATTCATCTAATATTCTGTCTGGGATATATTTGTGGACTGGTTTGAGAAGCCAACCACTGGCCCACTGTCTCATGTTGCGATCCACTTGTCAAAGACTCTGTCTTTGGATTCTCGTGTGAATATTGAGCCCAAGGCCATGTGTAACTCCCTTCCTTCTACTTGATTAAGAGGAAGACGGTGGTTTGGAGAACATTGTGGTGTCCCTTATAGACAGCTTGCCCTGTGCGGTTGTGGCTCTTTTGTAAGTGAGTACCCTGAAATCTTACATTGAAATGAGACAGGCAGTGATGAGGTTCCCATTTATCCATCCACATGTTTTATTTTTTTAAGCTGTAAAACATTTGCACTGCTACAACCAGCACATGCATGATGGTAAACAACCAGAAGTAATTGCCTTGGAATGGTAAAAGCAAACTGCAGAATTGCTTGTAAATTTGCTTGGTCGAGGGCAATTTTTAAATCGGCCTCTCTTGTATGACATTTATGCCTCGATGTTTGAATGCTCTGGCTGTTAGAAGCTTGGAAAATTTACATAATTGTTCCAAGTCTTGAGAAATCTGGGGCTTTCTTTTGAGACCACCAGTGTTTAATAATTCCCTTTTCCCTGTGCCCTGAGGCTAATGAGGTTCTGAATTTAACGGCTGCCTATTTCCAGCATGGTGGTGTCGGTCCACGCTGAAAGCAGTTTCCCCATGGTAGACATTCGTGTGTCCTGTATTTTTACTCTGTTGCTTTTCTTTCCTAATCTTGTTTGAAAGAATATCGAGCTCAAGGTGGAAGTAGAAAGTCTGAAGCGTGAGCTCCAGGAGAGAGAACAGCTGCTCATCAAAGCCTCGTAAGTACCTGGCGCCTGGCACAGCTTGTGGGGAGCCCGGGGTCTGATGGTGGCGGTGGGGTGGGTCAGTAAAACAGAACCTTGTGCTTTCTAAGCTACTTGTTCTCCAGCTGGGCTCTGAGGACCCCAAGAAGGTTTCATTTTTATTTAAATTATTTTTCAACAAACTTTTAAAGTTTATAGGAAAATGAGCAGATCTTATACGTATAGCAAAATAAATTTTTACTAAGCAGACATATCTGTGGGGCCACCATCCTGATCAGAAACCAGCACATTTACCAGCCCCAAGAAGTCCCCTTTGTGTTCCCAGAACTTACCCTTCTCCCACAGAGATGACCACTTTGCTGACCAGTAGTATATCACCTTTGCTTAGTTCTGCCCGTTTTTGAACTTTATAGAAATGGTATCTTATACTATGCCTGCACCCTTTTGTGTCTGGTCCCTTTCTTCAGCAATATATTTGGAGATTCATCCAGATTTTTGTTGTTGTTAATCCTCCCCCAAGGATAGTTTCCTATTGATTTTTAGATAGAGTGGAAGGGAGGGAGGGGGAAGGAGGGAGGGAGGGAAGGAGGAAGAGAGAGATATGTGAGAGAGACATATTGACTGATTGCCTCTCAAAGGACCCTGACAAGGGCTGGGGATCAAACCTGCAACCCAGGTATGTGCCCTTGACCAGGAATTGTACCCACGACCCTTTAGTCCTTGGTAGTCCTTGGGCTGACATTCTTAACTGCTGAGCCAGACTTTCCAGGGCCATCAAGATTTTTAAGTGTATCATTAGCTTATTCATTGGTAAAAACCCTAGGGGCTTAAAGGGATCTTGAGGGCCCTGGCCCAGTAGTTCATTTTGTTAGAGCATCATTCTTATATGCCAAGGTTGTAGGTTCGATTCCGGGTCAGGGTACATACACCAGTCAACGAGTGAATGCATAAATAAGTGGAACAACAAATCTGTGTTTCTCTCTCTTGCTCTTGCTCCCTTTCTCTCTTTCTAAAATCAATTAAAAAAAAAAAAAGAGGGTCTTGAGGGACTCATGTGTTAGGTGAGGTGGGGGAGTAGAGGTTGGGGCTTCAGTCAGGGTAGCTTGTTTTTCTATCTGTTTTGCTTAGAGAACATTTGAAAGCTATTATTTTAATTATTTATTGAACAACAAGCACAGTTCAGAGAATATAACCTATGATTCAACTGGTCATTCATTCATAAACATTTATTACATAATTACTCATGCTTCACACTGAGGGTTTTTAAGAGAGATAATCCCTTACTTCAGGCTCTCATCAGGGACTGGTGAAAACATACCCTATATACAGAGTGTAATGGGGTGCAGTGCCAGTGTGTGGGTACAGTGGGGACACCAGAGTGTGCCGAGTGTCACGTGGTGAGAGTGGAATAAGACTTCCCAGGGCTGACCCACCAAGGATCTAGTTGGAAGCTTATGTGGAGGTGCTTTGTCGTCATGGCAGTGGCGGTCCTGCTGGATGTGGGGCCAGGAGCATGGAGTCTTTAGCTTAGGGCGCAGCCGCACTGCTCTGGGCCGGGCCATGTGATTCTTTATTGCCACCAGGGCCAGTAGCTGGAAGTTAGACTGCTGTTAGCGTTCAGTAGACTAGGGGAGGTTCCCAGGCCCCAGCTGGACATTGCACACTTGGTATTTTCTGAGTGATTGAATAAATGAACGAATAAACCAGATTAACAAGTTTTTGTAGTTTTTTTTTTTTTTAGCACATTTTTCATCACCCTCTAGGCAGGGAGTCAAATCAACTGTACCAAGCCTGGGAGTCAGTAGTAGAATTCAGTCTGTTTCATACTCAGCGCCCTGCCTGCTGCAGGTCTTGTCCAGGACTTGTTTTCAGTCAGGCATGTGCACATGGAAGCTCAGACTCACCAGGGCTACATGCACTCCTCCTACCAGCACACAGGCTGAGTGCTCTGGGCGCTCGTGCACGTGTTCGTATGCATAGATTCTCCAGGCATGTGCACATGGAAGCCCAGACTCACCAGGGCTACATGCATCCTCCTACCAGCACACAGGCTGAGTGCTCTGGGCGCTCGTGCACGTGTTCATATGCATAGATTCTCCAGGCATGTGCACATGGAAGCCCAGACTCACCAGGGCTACATGCATCCTCCTACCAGCACACAGGCTGAGTGCTCTGGGCGCTCGTGCACGTGTTCGTATGCATAGATTCTCCAGGCATGTGCACATGGAAGCCCAGACTCACCAGGGCTACATGCATCCTCCTACCAGCACACAGGCTGAGTGCTCTGGGCGCTCGTGCACGTGTTCGTATGCATAGATTCTCCAGGCATGTGCACATGGAAGCCCAGACTCACCAGGGCTACATGCATCCTCCTACCAGCACACAGGCTGAGTGCTCTGGGCGCTCGTGCACGTGTTCGTATGCATAGATTCTCCAGGCATGTGCACATGGAAGCCCAGACTCACCAGGGCTACATGCATCCTCCTACCAGCACACAGGCTGAGTGCTCTGGGCGCTCGTGCACGTGTTCGTATGCATAGATTCTCCAGGCATGTGCACATGGAAGCCCAGACTCACCAGGGCTACATGCATCCTCATACCAGCACACAGGCTGAGTGCTCTGGGCGCTCGTGCACGTGTTCGTATGCATAGATTCTCCAGGCATGTGCACATGGAAGCCCAGACTCACCAGGGCTACATGCATCCTCCTACCAGCACACAGGCTGAGTGCTCTGGGCGCTCGTGCACGTGTTCGTATGCATAGATTCTCCAGGCATGTGCACATGGAAGCCCAGACTCACCAGGGCTACATGCATCCTCCTACCAGCACACAGGCTGAGTGCTCTGGGCGCTCGTGCACGTGTTCATATGCATAGATTCTCCAGGCATGTGCACATGGAAGCCCAGACTCACCAGGGCTACATGCATCCTCCTACCAGCACACAGGCTGAGTGCTCTGGGCGCTCGTGCACGTGTTCGTATGCATAGATTCTCCAGGCATGTGCACATGGAAGCCCAGACTCACCAGGGCTACATGCACTCCTCCTACCAGCACACAGGCTGAGTGCTCTGGGCGCTCGTGCACGTGTTCGTATGCATAGATTCTCCAGGCATGTGCACATGGAAGCCCAGACTCACCAGGGCTACATGCATCCTCATACCAGCACACAGGCTGAGTGCTCTGGGCGCTCGTGCACGTGTTCATATGCATAGATTCTCCAGCTGCCCAAACGAGATGCAAGACCCTTTGGTCTGATTTTATTTATCAGTTTATTCGTAAAGTATTTACTAAGCAGCTGTGCTGTGCTGGACTCAGCTCCTGAGAGTGGTGAGCTGGACAGACACATGGGCCTCCATTCTAGTGGGGATGATGGGGATAAATTACTTCGACAATAAAAATATCCATACAAATTGGGAGAAGAGCTGTGAGAAGAATCGAGGGCTGTGAGAGCAGCAGGAGTAGATGTATAAGGTGGGTCTGCAGCAGGGAAGGGACCCTGAGGAAGTAGCATCTGAGATGAGAGCTGAGGGCTTAGTGGGAATTAACCAGGGAAAGGCGGGTGAAAATGTTCAAGGGGTAAGGATGTGCAGGTCCGAGGAAATAGGAGAAGTCTAGGGGCCTCGGCCTCATCTTGCAGGGTCTGGAGGCCTCATTAGAGATTTTGGTCTTTATCCTAAGATCAAAGAGAAAGCAGTCATGGTTTTCAAGCGAGTGACACAATTAGTGTTTTGTTTTCTAAAAGGTCACTCTGGTTGCTGAGTGGGAAATGTTTTGTAGAGGGAGCGGGAGTGGAAACGGGACCAGTGTGGAGGCTCGTCTAGTCGCGTAGGTGACAAATGAGTGGCAGAGATGGATGGGTGGATTGGAATGACACTTAGGAAGCAGAATGAACAGGGCTTGGTAATGGATGGGAAGGGAGCTGTCAAGGATAGGTTTGGGGTCAAGATCATGAGTTCTGTTTAAGACCGTTCACAGTGACTTAGCTGCTCCAGCCCTCTCTCTCCACCAACTGTCCATGCCAAACACAGTTCACAGATCCCGAAAGGGCTGCTGGTCCTGCTGCTCTCACATTCCCTGGCAGACCTCTTCCCGTCCCGCCCCTCCCCGCCCAAGTGCCTTTCCTGTTGTCCCCCTGCATAAAAACTCCTGTTGAATCACGTGGCTGTCTGGGACCACATCTGTCTCTTCACAGACTTCTCTGGCATATAATGACAATCCCATATGTGTATAGCACTTTTCAGTTTATAAAACACTTTCACATCTATTTGCATTCCATCATTATCCTGAGAGGTGGTCAGATCTCGAGGAAGACCTCAGTGAGAGAGGCGGGAATTGTAGATTTGGAGAAGGGAAGGGCCGTGACTAATCCCATGCAGTGAGAAAGATCAGAGCTGGGATTAGAATTCAGGTTTGTGACTTCTGGTTCAGCATGAGGTTTCATATTCTTTTTTAAAAAAATGTTTGTGTGTGTTTCTCATTTCTCAAACGTGACTATACATCTTCTAAGCCAAGAGCCTCTTCCTTGGTGGAGTATAGTGCCGGTGAAGGGCAGGGGCTCTGGGTTGGCTCTAAAAATAGGGAGGACCGTGGCCTCCAAGTCTCGGCTTCTCAGCTGCTCCTACTTCCTAGGGCCTTGCGTGGACTACCTGCCATACGACGTGCAGACCTGCAAATGGGCTTTCCCATGGCCTCTGACTCCCAGCACTTGGCAGTGTGTGGTACATACTTGTTGATGGAAGAATAGTTTTTCATGAGTGCCCTCAACTCCCTTATTGAGTTTTATGATTGTATTTTTTTGCAAGGGTGGTGGGTGGGGTGGACAGGAGATATGGGAAAAGCCCCTGCTTTTCCCGGAAGAACTATAATTAGAATGGAAAGAATCCATTCTAATGGATGTTAGAAGAGCAAATGCTGATGTTACAAAGAGTAGTGAGGGTGGTGTTTATAGAGGGCTCTCTTTTCTATTGGGTGGAAGGCTGGATTAGACCAATTTCTCTCAGCTTTTCCTCCCCTTCGATCTTGCTACCTGTCTTGTCTGTTGGCCTAAATTCTATAAGGAAAGAAAGATCAGAGGGAAAGAACTAATGTTTATTGAGATCCTTCTTAGTCACTAACCCTGTGCCTGGCGCTTGAAATTCTTTACCGCATTTGATTTTACAGCAGTTGTGTGAGGCAGCCAGTATTCTCATTTGAGTCAAGAGGAAACTGAGGCTCAGAGGACTGGGGGAACTTGTCCAAGTTGGTAACAGAGCTGGGGCTGGTCTGTCTTGCTGTGAAGTAAGCATATAGGTTTGCTGTCTTTCCATTGTTTTCTTTCTTTTTTTGTTCAGGTAGAGTGGGAGGGAGAGAGAGGACCAGAGAGAGAGAGAGAGAAACATCGATGTGAAAGGAACACATCGAGTGGCTGCCACCTGTATGACTGACCAGAACCGGGGACAAACTGCAACCGAGGTACATGCCCTTAGCGGGAACCGAACCCGGGTCTCTCAGGACCGCAGGCCGACGCTCTAACCGCTGAGCCAAACCGGCCAGGGCCCATTGTTTTCTTTATCAGTTACCATAAGGGGACATTAAAAACAAAAGCAGACATATTGTAGGGAGTAAAATTTATCTCTGTAGCTTTAAAACACAAACAAAAATAATAATTCCATTAGTAGAGGAAAATTGCACCATACTGCTGAGTGTAAATTTTATTGCTACAGTAACTGTAAAATACAAAGATGATAAATGAAAAGTTGGAACATTTATTATTGGGAGTATATTTTATTGGTATAACTAAAATGAAAACAAACTGAATAATGCCAGTACTTGTTAAAAATTGGAGTCGGCCTCTTGACAATGTATGTGATGCTGACTGTAAAACACAAAGGTTTGATCTGGGCGGATAGGAGGGAGTCGGGGTGTTGGCACTCGCTGGGTGGAGTGGAGGGTGGGGATGGGTGATGGAGTGAGCCATTTTCTAGAGGAGGCTCTGATAAAACTCAAAGGCTAGAACATGTGTGATGGTTCGAGGAAATTCAGGATTGGAAAATTCTGTATTCAATACTCAGGAAGGAAAAGCCTCTAGTCCAGAATTCGTTTTTTAAAATTATTGTTGACACTATTACAGATGTCCCTCTTTTTCTCCCCCTTAGTCCAGAATTCCTGCGCCACGTAGAATGCCCTGTTGAGAAGTGACAGAAATGATTGTGAATCACTGTGAACTCCCCATAGTACTGGCCAAGAAATGAGCTGAGGGGTGGGCTCAGGACACCTCCTGGTATTCATCAGGAAGTTCAGTGGTGGCCTTCGTTGGCCAGCGGAGGGTCTGTTCTCAGCTCAGACACCAGCGGAGGGCAGGATGAGGCCGCTCAGCGTCTCAGCAGAGCCAGCGCTGTGGTGGCCTCGAGGACAACGGGCTGTCATGCAGCACTCAGATCAGAGAGGAGGGAGCACCGTGCTAATGGCCACCACACATGCTAGCACATTCGTTCTAAGAGGTCATCGCCTCACTTTTCAAATGAAGAAACTGAGGTGAAGAGGTGATTTACCCAGAGTCATACTGAGGACGTAATAGAGTAAAACTTTGGAAGCAGATCTGTTCAACTTCAGAGCCCATGTTCTTTCTTTGCAGTTCACATTGAATTCCATTAAAATGATATCATGACACTGGGGCCTTCTGAAGGCTCATTGGTGAAAGGACACAGATATGAATGAAGTCTTTATTTGCAGGCAATTCCTGTCTGAGACTTGAACAGCAAGTATGGCCCTCTTGACTTTCCATTGTTTTCAGTCAAAAATTCACATGGCCTGTACATGTGCTTGTCTGATCACATGGCCCGTGGTTGGAAAAGTCTTATATACCCCTAAAGTAGGGCTTGGGAGGCTGGTGGTGAATAGATTTGTTCTGTTGTAGTTTTTCTGAGAAACCAGCTTTAGGTGGAGCCATTTCCTTTATGTTATTCTGCCTCCTGGAAACCTGCAATCATTGTACATCTCACAAGTTCAAATCTGACACTGTTTTTCTTCTGGGGAGAACCAGAATGAAAGGCGTCAGTGGTTGTGGTTCTGGGTCTGATTTTGGTGTGCCATCCCCACCACTGCTTGTCAGGCAGAGAGAATATTTATTCCATGGTGCCACAGCGACATGAAGTCTACATTTTATGTTAGAGTAACGCAGGATGCTGGCTGCTGTGTACTCTCCTCATGCCCTAAGTGGTAGCTAGTGCTCACACAGATTGTTGTGCTGAATTTAAACTGCTTCCCCTCCAAGCCCTGGCTGGGTAGCTCAGTTGGTTAGAGTGTCATCCTGAATATGCCAAGGTTGTAGGTTCGATTTCTGGTCAGGGCATGTACAAGACTCAGTGAATGAATACATAAATAAATGCAACAACAAATTGACCTCTCTCTCTCTCTCTCTCTCTCTCTCTCTCTCTCTCTCTCTCTCTCTCTCAAATAAAAATAAACATAAAATGCTTTTCCTGCAGCTGGCAATAGATGAAGCATACAAACCTTTAATCCCTGATGAATTTTTGTTGCATCCTGTTTCTTTGTACATTGGTTTGTCAAAGCAGCTCGCCACCTTTTCTACCACTGTTGGAGGTTTATTTTTTTGGAAGTTTCTTGGTGGGAAATTTGGCAATAGCTGTCCAAAAGTCTTAAAAGAGGACTTACACTTTGGCCCAGAAATTCCCTTCCTAACAATAGACCCTAAGGAAATCACTGGGTAGTTTAGTATATACAAGGATGCTTTCATTATAACATTGCTTATAATAATAAACAATACCACTAACATTTGTACTGGCCACTGTTCTCAGGGCTTTATAAGTATTATTGGACAAATATGTAAAATCAGAAGCAATCTAAATGTTTTAAAAATAGGGGTTGTGCCCTGGCCGGTTTGGCTCAGCGGTTGGAGCGTCGGCCTGCGGACCAGTGAGTCCTGGGTTCGGTTCCCGCTAGGGGCACATACCAAAAAAAAAAAAAAATAGGGGTTGTTTTAATATAGTATATTTCATACAGCATGTTAATCTGTAGCCTTTAAAAATGATATAGATTTATATTTATTGACACAAAAGGGTGTTAAGCAATAAAATCAGATCACCGATGTGTACTGTATGATTCTACTTTTTGTAGAAATTGTCTGAAAGGCTGTATACTAAAATGTTAACTTAGCTATCCTGAGGGATGAAATTATAGATTATTTTTACTTTGTTTTTATTTATTTATTTTAATCCTCACCGAGGACACTTTTCGATATTTTGTTCAGATAGAGTGGGAGGGAGAGAGAGAGAGAAAAACATTGTCGTGAACAGGACACATCGAGTGGTTGCCACTCACACAACCCAACCAGGGCTGGGGACAAACTGCAACTGAGGTACATGCCCTTAGCGGGAACTGAACCCGGGTCTCTCTGCACTGCAGGCCAATGCTCTAACCGCTGAGCCAAACCGGCCAGGGCTTTACTTTGTTTTTAAATAATATGTATTTTTGTTGACACCTAATTGACATATAATATTGTGAGTTTAAGGTGTACAGTGTGTTGATTTGATACATTTATATATCTTTTTTTTTTTTTTTTATTATTCAGATAGAGTGGGAGGGAGAGAGAGGAAGAGAGAGAGAGGGAAACATCGATGTGAAAGGGACACATCGAGTGGCTGCCACCCGCACGCCCAACCAGGGCCGGGGACAAACTGCAACCAGGTACGTGCCCTTAGCGGGAACCGAACCCGGGTCTCTCTGGACCGCAGGCCGACGCTCTAACCGCTGAGCCAAACCGGCCAGGGCTTTACTTTGTTTTTAAATAATATGTATTTTTGTTGACACATAATTGACATATAATATTGTGAGTTTAAGGTGTACAGTGTGTTGATTTGATACATTTATATATCATATGGCCAGTGTTGAGTTATAAATATTAATTAAAATATTTAAAAAATCTCAGCACAGGTCCATGGGAAGATTCCTTGTTTCTTGGGGTGGTTGAAATTACGCCCCTGACTGTCACCCTATTTGCCTCATTTTGCAGCAAAGCAGTTGAGAGCCTCGCTGAAGGGGGCGGCTCAGAAGTTCGGCGGGTGAAAGCGGATGCTCAGAAGAAGGTGCAGCAGGTTGAAGATCTCCTAACCAAAAGAATATTCCTTTTAGAAGAGGCAAGTCCGGAAACCTGAGGAGAATGTGCTTCTTACAGTGGGTTAATAGCCGAGTGGGCAGAGTCACGGTCCTTTCCTCCTACACTGTCAGCCTCTGCAGACATGAGAGCCACCGTCATTCAGCATCGCTGGGGTTCCAGCCCCACTGTAGGCACTTGACATAAAGAACTTATACCCTTGCACCCTGCACACTGGTCACTACTGCCTCATTCCTATAGGTGAGGACACTGAGGTACAGAGAGAAATTCTAACCAAGTTTAATTCTGCACTTAAATGTATGACTGCTGACTTTAAACCCCATGTTCTTGCTATAACACCACTTAAAAAAAATGTTTTTATTGATTTTTTTAGAGAGGAAGGGAGACAGAAACATCCACGTGAGAGAGAAACATCTATTGGCTCCTTCCAGTATGCCCCACACAGGATCGAGCCCGCAACCCAGGCATGTGTCCTGACCGGGAATCATACCGGGGCTTCTCAGTCCATGGGACGATGCTCAATCCACTGAGCCAGCTGGCCTGGCAACACCACTTTTCTTATTATCTAGTTTAGTGCCTTTATGTCTCTGCAGAGGAAACTGAGGCCCAGAGAGGGAAAGCGATTCACCCATTAGCTAAGCCTGGAACCAGATTTTTTAACTTGTAGGCCATTGTGTATCCATGCAGCCTGTCCCCGCATCCAGCCTCCTTGCCCCCAACCACCAGTGTTGACTGAGTGCCTTTTCTCGGGCAGGCACTGTGTAGCTGCTCCTCCTCCTGATTCTCAGGTGCTTCCTGGGACCAGTGGGAGTCAGCATGTTTCTTGGTTAGAAAATATTGGCTCCTAGGTGTTAAAAAGGTTTCCTTCATTTAGAGCTAGGATTAATTGTAGTCGGCCCTTGTTTATTGCGGTTAATCAGTTCCAGAGTCTACTGCGATAAATGAATTTCCATGAAGTAGGATTCTTTTTTTTTTTTTGATTTTTTTGTTTTGTTTTGTTTTTTATCCTCATTCGAGGATATTTTTCCATTTTTTGTTCAGATAGAGTGGGAGGGAGGGAGGGAGAGGAAGAGAGAAAGAAACATCGACGTGAAAGGGACACATCGAGTGGCTGCCACCCACACGACCAACCAGGGCCAGGGACAAACTGCAACTGAGGTATGTGCCCTTAGCGGGAACCAAACTGGTGACCTCGGTGCATGGGTCAATGCTCAGCCACTGAGCCACACCGGCTGGGCTTTTTAAAAATTATTTTTATTGATTTTTAGAGAGTACTGTTAGCATATCTGCGTTGAATCCCTGCTGTGTCACTTACTGGCTTTGTTACCTTGGGTAGGGCGTTTGCCTTCCCTGAGCATCTGCCTCTTTCTCTGTAAAATGAGGCTAGTAATACCTGCTTTGCTGTAGTGATTATAACAGCAGCAGCAGTACTGACAATTTACGGAGGGCTTACCGTGTGTGAGGCACCTTTCTCAGCGTTTTACATGCACTGACTTAGGTAGCCCCCTCAACAAACCTAGGAGGTAAATGCTTGTCCCATCCTTTAGCAGCAAAAAGAAAAGCATGATGACGTGGGCACAGAGTGGCTGAGTCACTTGCATAAGGTAACAGGCTGTAGCTGCCAGTGGTCTGGCTGCAGAGCCTACTTTTTAAAGTGCATCACCTGTCTCTGTGCGTCATTTTTTAGGATTGAGTGAGGATCACAGATGATGTAAACAGAGCTTCCTGTAAAACCTGGAGTTGAGTAGGCTCTCGATGAATTGGGAAATGATTTTTTCCAACTGTCACTGAGATTGACAGGCAAGCCTCTTGGGGAGACACTGTTGGGGGAGGCACTGGAGGGAAACAGTGGGGATGATGAAGCCACACATTTTGAGTTTCCCATGATGCAGTAGGCATTTGACAGAGTCTCATAACAGTTCTCTGACGAGGTGATTATTAGGAAATTGGCTCAGAGACTACCCAAGATCACACAGCAAATAAGTGGAAGCTGTTTTTTTTTCTCTTTTTAAAAAATATTTTTATTGATTTTTAGAGAGAGAGAGGAAGGGTGAGAAAGAGAGAGACATTGATGTGAGAGTGAAACACCAATTGGCAGCTTCCTGCACACCCCTTACTGGGGATTGAGCCTGAAACTTGTGCCCTGATTGGGAATTTAACCGTCAATTTAGCCTGGGACGGCACCCAACCAACTGAGCCACATTGGCCAGGGCTGAAGCCAGGTTTTCAGCCCGGTTTGATTTGACTTTTATCTTTGTGATGTAATCAGAGGCAGTCGGCATAGGCAGTCGGCATGAGCAGTCGGAGATGCCTGTCTGCTCCCAGGTGACTTACATGAGCACCAGGGCCTTTTCCCTCACAGACACGGCCGCGTGATTCAGATACTGTTCTTGTTGGCTTCTGTGCGCTCAGGAAGAACATAGAGTTTTCACCACCTAAATCACTTTGCAGATATAGAAAATGTACTTTAGAATTGTGTAGTCATTATCTGAAAAAAAATACTGAGGGGGTGGTGGGGTGTGGGATGAATTTGTGTGGAGATTATGGTGACTCTTTGGAATTTATGTATGTTTAAGTATTGAGAGGCACATTTCTCCTTGTTCTCATTGAGCTGTAAATATTGATCTGATTTTTCAAAACCAAAACAGTTCTTATAGAGTTGAGTCTTTTCCATTGGAAATGCCTATTACTCTTCAGGATACAAGAAGGAAAGATGGCTGGCAAATGTATTTATTACCGATTCTCCCCATGCATAGTGTAATTCGGGGAGGGGAAATGTGCCGGAGAAAAAGTCATAAATATTTATATTTTAATCCAATTTCCTTTCAAAGTGTTCCCAATTGTATTGAAAAATTGCATCAAATGCATTTAATTTAACTCTAGGATGTAAAAGCCGCCCGAGCAGAACTGGAAAAGGCCTGTGCAGGGACAGAAGCGGAGAAGGCTCTTCGGCTGAGCTTGGAAAACAAGCTTTCAGAGATGAAGAAGATGCACGCGGGGGACTTGGACATGGCTCTGGTCCTGGAAGAGAAAGACAGGTCTGGTTCTGGTACAGTCCTGTGATACCCCAACAGTATTTATCTGGCAGCGTGGGAAAGGGTTGTTCTCTTTCTCCCCTTTCCCGTCCCTTTCCCACTTGTTCCCCACAGCAAGAAGAGAAGGAATATGAGGACAGAGAGAGGTAGTAGATCGAAATTTGTGCCGGAATTTTCTACTCAGATATTAAATTTAGCATTTGGTTCGGGCTCTAAGCTTCTTGGTAGCCAAAGGAAAAAGGGAAAAACAGTCTTGATGGACGAGATGAAACAAGCTAGGAACTCGGTAGAACCCCAGTTTTACTTGACCTTGTCAGAAATTTCTCTCGCGGATCTTCCTGAAGGGAATGGTTAGTGACTACATCCGTGCCGTAAATACTAGTGAATTTTGCGTGACACTTTCTGTCATATCTTTTATTTTTTTATCCTCACCTGAGGACATTTTTTCCATTTTTTGTTCAGATAGAATGAGAGGGAGAGAGAGAGAGAGAAACATCGATGTGAAAGGGACACATCGAGTGGTTGCCACCCGCACAACTCAACCAGGGCCAGGGACAGACTACAACCAAGGTACATGCCCTTAACAGGAACTGAACCCAAGTCTCTCTGGATCGCAGGCCAACGCTCTAACCGCTGAGCCAAACCGGCCAGGGCCCATCATATCTTTTGATGCAGGCTGAGGGCCCAGGTTAGTCAGTGCCAAAACAGTGTGCACCACATCCAGAGCTCTTCGATGGTCCAGTAATAAAATGTGTGCTATTTGGTCCAGAGAAATGGGTGGACCATGTGACCTCTAGGCAGTCTTGAAGCTCATCTAGCTTGGTGGGAGGAGAGGAGGGCAGGAACAGAGAGGTAATGGTTAGATGGGGTAAATACTGGGCTAAGTAAGTGCTTACCTAACTCAGAGGGATTGGGAAAAGCTTCCAGAAGAAGTGCTAGGATGAGGAGGAATTAGTTGGAAGAAGAAAGGGTATTCCAGGCTCTGGGAACCTTCTGTGCGAAGAGAGCCCAGAGGCAGAAGGGCACACTGCATGACCAAGGGACGGAAAGAAGTACGTCCTGCACTGTTGTGTTCTGGAAGGGAGGTGGGAAGAGGTGAGGAGAGGCAAGCTGGGACAGGTCTCGTGGGCACCACTGCCATCGAAGAGTTTGGGTTTTGTCCTTAGGGCATGTGAGAAGCCCCTGATGAGTTAGAGGTGGGGGTAGGGTGATGACAGGATCAGATGGAAATTTAGAGCAATCCCTCTGCCTGCCTCTGGAGGATGGATTGGCCCTGGGTCTGGGTGGAGCCTGGTTCTGTGGCTGATGTAGGAGCCCAGAGGCGATGATGGTGATAAGACTAAGGTGACGAACTAGGGAAGGAGAGGATAAGAGAGATTTAGAAGGTAGCATCAATCACATGTTGGCTGGAGGGGCTTGGCAGCTGATTGGATTTGGGGCTGAGGGGAAAGGCTGCCAAGATACCCCCTCACCCCGATGAGCAGTGCTGGGATGGTATTGCAGTTGCTGGTTTGGGGGAAAGGGGGAGAAAGATGTTTTTGGGTAGAGGGGGTGGGAAGATGAACTTTCAGTTAGGATTGTGAGCGTTCAAGAGGAGAGTCCAGGAGGTGCTTGGATATATGGATTAAGGCGTGAATTAGAGGAGCTCCAAAGATTCAGTCATTAATCACCTACTGAGCGTGGCCTGGGTTGGGTGCTAGGAATGCAGAGACAGCACTGTCTTCCTCACAAGGAGTTTTCAAGTGTGGGAGGGGACAGATGAAAAAAAAGATTGATGCTGGAGGTAAGTTCAGACTTCTGTGCTGTGACAAAAGTGAGGGAGTGGCCAGTGCTGCGTGGGCGTGGGGCAGGGAGGCTCACGAGGAGGAGTGCTGGAGTTGGGTGAGGAAGCCTTGCCTCCCTGAGGGACCAGCACAGGCAAAGGTGTGGATCTTGGCTCATTTCAAGGTAATTGCAGAGGAGAGCGGCCCCTGTTAGAATAGGCTGCAGAAACTTGGATTCTCATCTTTTTGGAAAAGGGAATTTGGGAAGTGTTAATGATTATTGAGTTCTTACTGGTCCAAGGGGTGGGTTTTCTATGGGTGTGGGTAGTCAGGTGAAGGCTAGAATCTTCGTCTACTGGGGTTTCCCAGTGGTCTGGCTGGATAGGCACAGAAACCAGATTTGTCAGCACTGTGAATGCGCCTATCCCTCGGGTAGAGGTGTCCCAGCCACACTCCCGAGACCAAAGCAACAGCCAGATGCCTACTCTGGGTTCCTGCTCATGCAGGGCGGGGTCCTCTGTGGTTGAGTGTTCCTGGGTCTAGGGTCAGTGTGTTTCCTCCCTGAAGGCAGCCTGTCTAGGAAGCTAAATCGATATTAGAAGGTGAGTGTTGAGTACAGAATTGGAATAAGGGTCTTGGTCATGCCCTGGTGAGCTGGATCCAGATTTGCCACATGGATTGTCTTTCTGGGTCCTCACCACCCCTCTCAAAAGTGCTTTAGCTACTTGATTTCCTTCAGTCTGACCTTAAAGCTGGTCAGTATCTCTAAGGCAGTTGACAGTGAGGAGCCCTGCAGGTCAAAGTTGGCCAACAGATATGTTTTATCTGTGTTTTCTTTTAAGTTTAACTAGTTGCTAATATTTAAAAACAATCTAATATTATGTAAGAGTCTGGATTTACAGATTCCCTTGAAAACCTGGAAGGTGTGGGAGGATAGGCCATGATGTTGCTGGAGTGCGGCCACTCCCTTAGGTGGGCCTGTGCTCCCTCTGGGCACAGTCCCCGCAGGTCTGCCCCGCCCACCTCCCTCCCTAGCTACCGTTTGCTTTAAGGGAACTAAAAATCAGTTTTTTTGAGGTGTAAGGTACACACAACACAACACATACATTTAGTGTACAATTTTACCTCTCCAGTTGATTATTTCAGTGGTGATTTCAGAGTTGAGCCCCTAGAGGGCACTCTTATTCCTCCTTCCTAGTATTGGGGGGCATGATGCTGCTGGTTCCCTCTGTATCCAATTGTCTGAGTCCATTTGGTGCCATAACAAAATAACACACACTGGGTCGCTTATTAACAATAGAAATATGTCTTACAGTTCCGGACGCTGGAAGTCCAAGGTCAGGGTGCCCGGGTGGTCAGGTGAGGACCCCTTTTAGGTCCTCTTTCTCATATCCCCCCCTGGCAGAAGGGGCAGGGATCTCTCTCTGTACCGCAGGCCGACACTTCAACCGCTGAGCCAAACCGGCCAGGGCGGGGCAGGGATCTCTAGAGCTTGTTTACAAGGCATTACTCCCATTCATGGGCCTTCCACCATCATGAGCCCATCTTTTCCCAAAGTCCTTCCTCCTAATGTCACCATTTTGGGGGGAGCACAAATGTTCAGACAGTGCACCAGCACGTTGCCAGGCGCTTGAGCTGCTTTTAGTTCTCCCCACCTTCACCCTGGGAGCCGGTCGTCTTTCTGCCACAGTGAGTTGTTTTTCAGGCTTCACTAGAAACACTCCGCTCTTCTTAGGGTCCTTTGACAAAATGCTAACCATTGAATGCTAAAAAAAAAGTAATAGTTATAGCAGCTGTCATTTGAGTTCTGCCACATGCCTGGAGCTGTGTAGGGCTGTTTTATTTTATTTTATTTTATTTTTTTTAATCCTCACCTGAGGACATTTCTGCATAGAGTGAGAGGGAGAGAGAGAGGAAGAGAGAGAGAGAAACATAAATGTGAGAGAGACACATTGACTGGCTGCCACCCACATGACCCCAACTGGGGCCGGGGACAAACTGCAACCGAGGTACTTGCCCTTAGCGGGAACCGAACCTGGGTCTCTCTGGTCTGCGGGCTGACGCTCCAACCCCTGAGCCAAACCTGCCAGGGCTGTAGGGTCTTTTTAAATGGCTTATCTCCATTCCACATAAGCAAGTTATCCCTATTTTATAGCTGAGGAAATGCAGACTTAGAGAGCTTAAATAATTTGGCTGTTGTCAGGGAGCAGTTGTAATTCGGTGGCCTGGAGCAGGGTGTGTTCAGCTCTCCCTGAGGGGGCTCTCGGGGTGTCGTTGGCAAAGCTCCCCTGCGGAGGATGCCTAATGATGTGTGGCGATGATGGGTGTTTCTCAGGTGGAGGGGAATGGCGTTGTGAAGGGCATTCTGGGTACAGGGAACCGTGTGAACAGAGGTCTAGAGGCTCAGCACAGCCTGGCTTCTGGAGAGAATGGAAAGGGTGGCTCCCGCGGGCCGGGTGAGGGCGTCCTGTGACGCCGCTGAAGCTGCCCGCAGGGCGATCTAGGCCTGCCCGCTCGGGCTCTGACTGCCGTGCCCAGGAGTTTGTTCTTTATCTTGAAAGCCAGGAGATTTCAGACTTTGCCCTGAGAAGCCTCGGAGAGTGTTCTTTTTTTTCCCTCCACATTTACTAGGATAGTTCTGCTATATTGGTCATGTTTGTTCAGTCTGCACTGCCAGATTTCTTTTGGAGAGAAGAATTTTTGACCAGAAACATTAGTAGTCCATAGCCGTCGGTGGTGGGGCCCATCTAACATCTGAGCAGGGGTGTGACTCAGCCAGACCATAGTCTGGCAGTTGGAGGTTGGATCGACTGGGGCCAGGCTGGAGGCAAAGGGACAGTTAATGTCACACAAATTCTGGCCCTTAATCTCCAACCTGCAAAATGCGATTTTATTCATGTTCAGTCATTGGACATGTCTACTTTGAAGATGCCTGGCCCCATTTCTAACCTCCTCCTGCTCCACTGAGCTGAGAGAACAACTTAGAATTAATATTTAAATTTTGTTCTCTTTTAGACTGATTGAGGAGTTGAAGCTGTCTTTGAAGAGCAAAGAAGCTTTAATTCAGTGCCTTAAAGAGGAGAAATCTCAGATGGCGTCTCCTGATGAGAACGTGTCATCTGGAGAGCTCCGAGGACTTGCTGCTGCTCTGAGGGAAGGAGAGGAGAGAGAAACTGAGGTGAGGCGACAGGACGTGGACGGGACTTTGATTAGCCCACCAGACTTCATGGGAAATGGGGTGCACATTCAGTCACCACGGCTCGCACGTAGTCTGCTCCAAATGTTCCCCTCTGTCAGCTGAGGGGTCAGCAGACACTTTCTCTGTTAGGGGCCCTGGCATATTTTTTCCCTTCCAGCCTTGTGTTCGTAGAGTTAGTTTAGAAAGCAGCTCTTTTACTATGTGTTCGTTTGCTCTTGCCCAGGGACTTGGCTGTCATCCTTTGGATTTTCATAGGATAAAATTGTGTTACTTATCCATTTCACCTTTTGTGATGAGAGGCAGGCTTAAGGCCAACTTTGGTCTGAAACTTCAGAGATAGTGAGGGCAGGGAACTACCCTTGAGTTGGGCCGGCCTGCACACAAGGGGGTCAATGTGCCATTTCGTCTAACCCTCCTGGCCACCTTCGAGGGAGGGTTCACGGGCTCTCAAGTTTAGAAACGGGCTCAGCTCAGAGGAGTTGTTATATTTTCCTAGGCTCCAAGAGGTGGGTTACTAGTGCCGACCCCAAAGCCTCCCTGGACCCCTCCCCCCACACTAGGCAGCCTCCACAGCAAGCTCTTTTGAAGAGGGTGGGCAGGACTGGAAGTGCAAGTAGGCCTAGCCCAGACCTTCCCATTCTTGTTGGACCACAGGTGCTGCTGCATGTGGTCTGTTCACCTTAGACGCTCTGGATGCTCATGAGCAGTGTTGATTTCGTTATGGAGCAGGGTCTCCTTTGTGCCTAACACAGCAGTGAATGCTTTAGCCTCACCAGTGAGTTTTTGGCTGTAATCAGCCTTCGTCTCCTGCCCCTTTGAACCCTCTGTCTCACTTCCTCAGCCCTGTCCTTTTGAAGGCCTTTTCATTGTCCAGTAGCTCCTTGGTTCACTCTCTGTGGGGCTGGTGATCAACTATGTCGGTTTGTCGCCTTTACATTTTTCTTCACTTGGGGGGGACTTTGGGTGAGACAGGAGTGGACACTTGCTTTCGTAGTTCCACAGCAGGGGAAACAGCAAGTAAATGAGGCGCTCATTCTAATTGTTCTGGGGAAGCTCTTGGATTGTGGGTCCTTCTGGGCACCAATTAATGCCTTTTTGTAGGCTGCACAAATGGAGCGCCAGATGGAGAGAAATCGCTTTGAGGACAGGATCCAGGTATGTTGAAATGATTTTAAAAAATCTGTTGAAGATTTATCCTTGCCTGTTGCTTTATTCTGAGTGCATTAGGTAATTCTGTGTGACAATAGGTGCCACTCATTGAGTGCTCCTGTCTGCCAGTCAGGCTTTCGGCACAGTGGAGAGGGTTTCCCAGGCTCTGTAATAGCTGGGAAGCAGGCCTGCCCATCCTGCGGATGTGGCATGTGAGGCCCACAGCAGAGTGGTTCCTTACAAGGTCACATGGCTTGGAGGAGTTAGAGCAGGGATTCAGCCTTGCCAGTGTGATTCCCAAGCCATCGCTCCACGGTCCCTTAGTCACAGCAGCCGGCATTTGTGTCGCACCTGCCAGCTTAGAAAGTGCTTTCACGTCCATTATCTCATTTGATCCTCACGACAGCCTGGGAGGGAGGCAGCAGTGATTATCTTTAGAACTGAACTCAGACTAAAATGTATATGTTCAGTCTCCATCAAACCACATTCTCTGCTAGCTTTTGTAGCATTAAGGAATGAAATTAATGATCTGTTGTTTCCCCCAAATAACCTGGTATGGTTTTAAAGACTCTGATGTGACTGTATTCAGATTCCAGAGGCATGGAGTCCTTCCTGCAGGAATAGCTGTCACTGTTTTAACTGATCTGATCCCCTTCCTCTCACTCAGTCCTGTTGCCGTGAGCGGTGATACAGTAACTTGGAACTGATGCCACTGCGTTCAGCTCTACTTGGAAACATTAATCACAGGCTGACAGGAATAAGATAGAATAACTGCATTTGAGTGTGCTCTTAAAGATATATACAGTGCATTTTGGTTGGAACACATCAACTTAGTGAATCTTTTTCTAATCTAATTTAGGCACTTCAGGAGGACCTGAGAGAGAAGGAAAGAGAAATTGCTACAGAAAAGAAAAATAGTTTAAAGAGGGATAAAGCCATTCAGGGCCTAACCATGGTATTAAAGTCGAAGGAAAAAGAGGTATGTCTGCTAGACCTCAAGTGAAATTTTTCTTTATTAGCTTCTGTGACTGGCCTGTCCTTCCCTGAATTTTTAGCTTTTAGTAAAAAGTGTATAAGAGAACTGAGATGACTGTAGAAAGTGGGGCAAGGGTCCTTTAGTGAGTTAGAAGTTCTTTTGGAGTGTCTAATCCAGCACTGTCCAATATAGATATGTGAGTTACATGTATAATTTTCATTTTTCTAGTAGCCACATTAAAAGAAGTAAAAAGAAGCAAGTGAAATTAACTTTACAAATATGTGACAAATATTATCATTTCAACATCTAATCAATAGAACAAAAGTAATAATGAGGTGTTTAACATTTTAAAAATATGAAGTCCAGTTGTGCTTACAGCACATCTCAAGCCAGACTAACCACATTTCAAGTGCCCAGTAGCCACAGGTGGCTGGTGGCTACCATATTAGTGCAGGTCCAGTCTTTGGAAAGACAACAGAATACTGAGATAAAGGAGTTTGGGGGGCAAGGCTGCGGTAGTTAGATTGCTGCCTGGGTTGTTGTCTTTGGCGTCCACGGTGGCCTTTGATTCCGTGCTGTTTTCTTGTGTCTCAGTGACTGTGCGAGGCACAGAAACAGAGGGAAACCCAGCTCTGCTCACAAGCCTAGTGGGGAAGAAAGACAGTGCAGGTGTGATTGCGGGAAGAGCAGGGGGCTGTGGAGGTGGAGCGAAGGGGACCTAATCCAGATGACGTGGTTCTTCGTGGAGCAGGTGTCTGAGCTGAATCTTAAAGGACGAGTAGGTGTTGGCTGGGAAGGAAGTCAGAGAGAGGCTGTTTCATAGAGAAGCATTCAGTGGGGAAAGAGCTCGGTATGTTTTTGTGGAACCAAAAGCCATTTGAGGTCGGCAGAGCATCAAGTGCAGAACTTCGGTGAGGTGAGAGAAGAATCTGGAGAGGTTGCAGGGGCCAGCCAGTGGTGGCGGAACTATTTACGTTTCACTGGTGGGGTGGCACTGCTTCACTGCTCGCTGAAGACTCTTGAGCAAGAGTGGTGTGATCGCATTTGTATTTTAGGGAGGTCGCAGCCTGTATCCAGACAGAGGGTTGTAGGAGGGAGAGAATGGAGGCAGGGAGGCCAGTAGCTGAGTGAGGTGAGAGCCACCTGATTCAGAAAGGCTGAATTAGAGCGGGGTCACAGCAAGCAAGAATGGAGGTGTGGGGCACATTCAATAAAATTAGAAATAATTAAAAGTATATGATTAATTATTATTAATTAAAAATTGGAAGTAAACTTGGGGGAATTTGATGGTTAGATGCAGGAGTGGTGAGAAGGAGCCGTCCAGGATGACTTCTGGCTGGCATGACTAGAGAGATGGTCATGCCACCGACGGCTAATGGTAGAAAATGGAGATGATGGTGGGATGGGAGGTGGTGATGAAGGTGATGACTCTTCTAGGAGTATTGGCTTGCAGGGGTCTGTGGACCATCCAGGTGAGATGTCCAGGAGGCAGATAGATCTGTAAGTCTAAAGCTTGGAGAGAGCTCATCAGGCCTGAGGGTGTAGATCTGGGTGGGAGTCACTCTTCAACAGATGTGAGTTAAATTCTGAGAGTTGATCTATTCAAGGAGAGTATAGAGTGGGAAAGAAGAAGGCTGAGGATTGGACTGCAGGGGACATCAGAATTCCAGGTACAGGAAGAGGAATGCACAGGAGACAGAAGGAGTGGTTGTAGGTGTACGGAGCTGACCAGGAAACTGGAGTTGAAGAAGCTAAAGGAGAGGACTAGTTTGAGCAGTCACCACTGTCAGAGGCAGCAGAGAGCTGGTTCTCAAGAATAGTAGCTGTACTTTGTATCATGTGTTGGGTGTTCAGGGCCCAGCTGAAGCTGGGGACCTTCAGTATGTGGTGGCATCAGTGGTGGAGCAGTTCTGGGTGCTGGCAAAGTCCAGGTGTGACCTTGGTAATTGTTGGCTAACTGTGTTTATGGGAGTAGCCAGGCTTGGTTGTTGTGTGGGTCATCTATATGGACAATAATAATGCAGTAACAGTATGGGCCAAACATTATTTTAGCACCGCTGCACATTACCTCATTTAACCAACAGTGCTATGGCTGGTGAGTGGTGGTATCCTCATTTTACAGTTGAGGGAATTGAGTCTCAAAGACATTAAGTTTTGTGTCTGACGTCATCCAGCTAGTAAACAGCCATACTAGAAATCTCACTTTTCTGACTTCAGGCTTTTTCTGACTACAAAGGCCTTCATTATAAGCACAATCCAGCAACTAAAGTAGTTGGGCCATGCAGAAACAGGAGGAGCCCAGTTGCATACTTGGCTGCTAGTCCTTATTTTTACCCAGGTTGAAGAACTTAACTCTGAAATCGAAGAGCTCCGTGCTGCCTTTGCCAAAGCCAGAGAAGCCCGCCAGGAAACAGAGACCCAGAAATTCCAGGTAAGTGTTCGCTTTGGTTGAAGAGGTTATTTATATCTTTGATCCCTACTCCTGGTAAGGTCAGTACTTTGAAGCTAAAAGGAACTGAGGAAAACTCAGGGGTTTATATTAATAGAACTGTTTCATTCTAGTGAAGGAAATTCTCTACCAGTTTGGGGTGCTTCTCCACCCCATCCTCAATATGATGATGATAATATTGATAATGATGACAGTTACCCCTTGGTTAGGAGTGCTGAGTTTACTCCGTGCAGGTAGTAGACTGCAAAATGTGTGGATTCTTTCTTAATTGTCACAACCCTGTGGGGAAGTATTTATCCCCCTTGTATCTTTGGGGTTTTTGCACTCAGTGAAGATATGCAGCTATTTTATTCACTGTTGCACAGCTAGCAAGCAGCAGGGCCAGGATTTTAGTGTAGTAATTGCTAATAATGACAGTTGGCATTTATTGAGTACATACTATGTGCCAAGACCTGTGCTAAGTGCTCTCCACAGATTAGCTCAGGGGATCTGCACAACAGCTCCATGAAGTAGTCACTGTTACTGCTGGGAAAATCCAGTCTCAGAGATTCAAGTGACTTGCTCAGGGCCACAAAAGTGGTGAGCCATCTCCCTCCCAAGCCTGTGTTTTACCTGTCATAGCTCCCCTCCCCTGGCTTCAGTCCTGCCTGCTCTCTGCCAGCTTTCTGTTCTAGGCCTTGATGGTTTGACCTGCCTTTTCTTCCCCCTGCAGTGTTGTATTGCATGGACTCCTGCTGGCCGTCCTCTCCATCTTCCTTTTCTCTGGCTAATTTCAGTTCTGGGTTTTTCATTACTTGAACATTTTCTTCTCATGTGTCAGTTTCCCTAGACAGTGTGTACCTATTACTAGTAATTTAACGAGTAACACTCTTTTATGTGAATAAGTCCACACTGCCTGAGTGTTTTCCTTCCACCCCTTCACCCGTGTTTTAGTTATAAAGTAGAAGTTAAATCTAATTTGAGACTGTTTGACTCCTAAGATTCATATCCCATGCCTTATCTTTTGCAGAGCTTTGGTTCACAATAAGAAGAATTGAGGTAATTTGGTTTAAATCCTGGTGCACTAGAAACAAACAGATCTCTGCTTTTGGACTCAGACTTGCCTTCCCCACCATTTGACAGTGGTCGATGAAATGGAGCTGAGATTACACTTTTCTCTGAGGTGTTTTTTTCCCCCTTGCTTAGAAAATGACAAATTTTAAAAGCTGAGTTTTTAGGAAAGTCATTCATATTTCCCATTGCTTGAAGAAAAAAATATATATGTTGGCAATTCACAAGCAGAGAGACCAGACATCCTTATAAGCATTGTGATAGTTTACTTAGGTTGGGCGTTGAAGGAAATTGAGTAGTTTTATACATTTAAACCTTACCCAGATTTATACATGCGTTTACTCAGTTTGTACCCCTCAGTCCTACTTGAAAGACCCTGAGAGTGATAGCTGAGGTTTCATCATGCAGGGTTTCTTTGTTGGCAGGGTTTCTTGTCTTGCCATGTGGCGGTCCGGTTCTCCATGCCTGGTTGGCTGATCTGAGAGCGCTCATTGAATTCTCACCCGCGAAGGTAGAGTGTGTACCCGTTTGACAGGTCATCAGGGCTTGAACTTAAGCCTGACTCTAGAGTCTTCTTTGTGCTACTCCGATTGTGTGTATGAGTCAACACACACAGGATGCTTATATTGGTTATTTCATTATGAGGTGTACGTAGTTTCCATGTTGTACGGACACTTTCCATGTTGTACGGACATTTTCTTTCATTTATTGGGATCTTTTGGGATGTCATATGGTTTAAACTAATTGCAGCATGAGTAAACTTGCCCAGACTCACGGGGTTGGCCTGAAGCCTGATACTAAAACAGCAGCTAGTAGTGTTCAGACTCTCGGAGTACCTGCCACAGTACAGAGACGTGCATGCCAGTCACACGTGAGACTCCATGACGGTTTTCCCGTGGGCCTGGGGTGGGGAGGAAGGAGGGGAATGGGGAACATCTGTAGTACTGTCAGCAATAAAATGAAATAAAAAGTACATTTTTTTTTCTCATTTAAAAAACATGTTTTCAAATCGGAAATAGCATTATTTCTCCTCCCCTCTCTTGGCTCTAAAAGTAAAACTGCACATTGTAGGACATTTATAAAGTAATCAAAATAGTGGAAAAGGTTGATAAAAGTCATCAATAAACTCAGATAGAAAGATGTTCACTATTAACACCTTGACTCTCTTATTTTTTTCACTTTTTTACTTTTTTGGTATGTGCCCCTAGTGGGAACCAAACCCGAGACTCTCTGGTCCACAGGCCGACGCGCCAACTGCTGAGCCAAACTGGCCAGGGCCACCTTGACTCTATTAATGCATATTTCTATATACATACATAAAACCCTTGAAAAATTAATAGAATCATAGTATGTACTTTGTTCTATAATCTTTTTTTCCTATCTAACATTCTTGCTATGGCAGTATATATAGATCTACTCTGTCTTTCTTTTTAATTTTGAGGTAATTGCAGACTTTCATGCAGTAGATTTCTGTATGCCCTTTACCCTTTAGGTAATGTCTTTTGTAACTATAGTCCAGTATCACAGCCAGGACAGTTGACATGGTGCACTCCATTGACCTTACTCAGACTTCAGTTTGACATGCCATTCGTGTGTGTGTGTGTGTGTGTGTGTGTGTGTGTGTGTGTTCTTTTTAAAAAACTTTAAACAGCTACATTTAGTCCGTTATATATGTATCATATTGTTTTTACTGGGAAGAACATGGTGTGAGACATGGATTTGAATCCCGACTCTGCTCTTCACGAATTGTGTAACCTTGCACATCATAAAGTTTGGATAATCACACTTAAATCACCTAATCCTTACAAGGATTAAACAAAAAAGTGTATCTGGGGACAGGTTGTAACTCAGTAACTGTTAACTCATCCTTAAATTGGGTGGAATATCTTCTGGCATAAAAATATAGTATTTACTTTGGTCTGTTTTTAAAATTCTCTACTAATCGTATTATACACATAGTTTTAGTTTGGAAACTCTCCAAGTGATGGAAAAGGGAACTAGGTTTATTTATCCTGCACCCACTGAAATGGAACTTTGTGTATCATTGAATCTCTACAACAGCCCTGTGAACTAGATAGCAATCGTTACTTTCACAGATGAGAAAACTGAACCTCGGAAAAGTTAACTTCTCCCACCAAGTCACACAACTGGAACTGGTCCTTGAACTCTCAGCTTTCTGACTCTGTCTTTATTAAACATGTCTTGTTTCTATATGGTGGGGAAGAAGGATTTGTTTTGGCCTTCAGTTTCTGACCATATCTAATTGGGCCAAATGTTTGCCACTGTTTAGAAGCATCTAACTGTTGAGATGGGATTCAAAAAGCAGAAAAAGGTAAAAAAACTCTCCAAAGTTTTTTGAAAGACCATTTAAAGAAATTTAATATGGGAAGAGTTTTTAATGAAGTGAATAGAATGTATGAATTTGTATTCTTTGAGCTTAGATTTTTAAAGAGGCTTTGTCATAATTTTCGTGATAATCCCACGAACATTCACCACTTTATAATAACTATTATTTTAATAATAACCATTGCTGTTCTGTGTTTAACAAGCTTCTGTGTTCCTGTCTCTGCCCCCCACACCCCTTGAGTTCAGTTCTTGTTTTGATTCTTGGCAGTTTTTGATATTAATTGGAGTCTGCGGTGGACTGGGCAAGGCAGTGGGAAGGACACAGGTTCTCAAGACATTCGAATCCCCGATTTAATCACTGTGGTCTGATGGCAGGAGAGTCGTTTGGCAATTCTGAGCCTCAGTTACTGAAACAGGGATCGTGATGTGTACTTGTAGGGTTGGTACGAGAAGTAGAGATTACTGTGTGTAAAGTTCCTGTTTTAGCTCTGCGTATACAATTAGTGTTTAATAAAAGGTAACTGTAAAGTTGTTCCAGATGAGCATTTTCCCAGTCATTGTTTATTTCCTGTTATTTTTTCAGTTTATCTAAGTAAGCACCACCCCAGATATATACATCTTTGCCCTTGACCTAGGTTTCCCATTTCTTCTTTTTTTATTTTAGTTTTAAGGGGAACCAAAACAGAAGTTTCTAGAAAACCTACTTTGAAATTTGAATGACTTTCTCCCTCAGTCTCTGTTGCTGTGTCCTAATTAGCAGTTGGGGAAACATGGGCCCAAATGGCTGGGCTGTATGTGCCTAGAAACAGCAGAGCCCCTCCACATCTGGATTAACTAGGTCGTAGCCCACCTTTCCAGAACAGCTAAGACTTACCTTTCAGTGGTGGTGAAGACAGATTTCCTGGAAAGGCCCAGAAGTTGGAGCCGCCCCTTTACTACATAGTCTGAGCTGTGACCTGACAGCTCAGGTGTTCCTTGCTTTAGAATTTTTAATTGTGGCCCTCAGTCTAATTCAAAGAACTGATTAAAAAAAAATAGGTATGTTTTCTCCTGATTACAAGTATTATATATGCTTCAGTTTTTTTCCCCTGGAAGATTAGAAAGAAGGAAAAAGGAGGAGAACTAGGAAATCACCCAACCACTATTAGCATTTTGATATTTTTCCTCTAGGCTTTCTTCTATGCATGCATTTTATTTTTTAGGTCATTTTCTATTTTTCCATGTAACATTGTGACTTAGTAATATTCCCATATTATCAACTCAAATACAGTTTTAGGATTTGATTGTGCATCCTTATCATATTTTAACCATTTTCATATTCTTGTACATTTAGGTTGTTTCTTATTTTTCACTATTCTGAGTAATTCTATGATGAGTGACTTTGTGTATAAAACTTTTATCCTCCCTAAATTTTGAATTCCCCTCCTGAGATTGAATTCTAGGAATAGAAATTTTGGGATGAGTGTAAACATGTTTTTGTGATACACACACACTTGATACATATAATCTGTCCATCAGAATTATATCTGTTTACATTCCTGCTGGCATATTTCCTGGCTTCTAAATGCTTAGTCAGTTCTTGAAAAGCAAATATTAATTGTGTCATTTCACAATAAGCTCACCAGCACTGAATATCCTCATGAAAACAATCTCACTTGTTAGATGAAAACTTGTTTCAATTTGCCTTTTTTTTTTATCTTCACCCATGGACATTTTTGCATTTATCTTCAGATAGAGCAGGAGGGAGAGAGGGAGGAAGAGAGAGAGAGAAACATTGATGTGAGAGAGACACATCAAGTGGTTGCCACCCACACGACCCCAACTGGGGCCAGGGACAAACTGCAACCGAGGTACGTGCCCTCAGCAAGAACCGAACCCGGGACTCTCTGGTCTGCGGGCCGACACTCTAATCGCTGAGCCAAACCAGCCAGGGCCAGTTTGCTGTTTTTGATAATTGGTGAGTTATAACATTTTCATATGCTTGATAATCACATTTATATTTTATCTCTAGTAAAATGTGTGTTAATGAAATAAAGTTGTACTTGACACATTTAGCCCTTGAACTTTGCAGAATTTATAGCCTCTTGAGGTGGCCATTAGACTACTGCACTGACCACTTCTTTTCTCCCTATGTCTCTGGATTTGAGCCGAAATTCTAATGTAGATAAACATTGCCAGTGCTTGAATCCATCTCAGCTTTTCAAATGAAGCTGTTTATTCTGCCTTTTTAAAATGACTTGAATTGGCCCGGCCAGAGTAGCCCAGTTGGTTGAGCATTGTCCTGTGCATTGAAAGGTTGCCAGTTTGATTCCCGGTCAGGACACATACCTGGGTTGCAGACTCTATCCCTGGTTGGGGCATGTATGGAAGACACCCGATCAGTGTTTCTCACGTCAATGTTTCTCTCTCTCCCTCCCTCACCCTTCCTCTCTCTAAGCATGTTCTCAGTTGAGGATTAAAAAATTTATACACACACACACACACACACACACACACACTCATATACATATATATAAATTAAATTAAATGGTTTAAAAAAAAAAAACATTAAAAAAGTAACATACGCACTAACCTTAGAACATTTGAAAATACAGAGAAGTGAAGGAAAAACGTCAACTATATTTCCATCCCATGAAAGACAGTTATTGTTAATTTTCTGTACTTTTCCTTCTAGTTTTAAGAAAAAAAATTTTTTTTACACAGTTGTAGCTTCCCTCCTTCCCTTTAACATCAACAACATAACATAAACATTACCTTGAGTTATTTCAAAATCTTCATATTATTTGTGCTTTGGGTCCTGAATGTTGTTTATATTAAATGCCCCCACCCATACCCCACCAAGGTAAAAAAGGAGCAGATTTCTTGGTTTGTTTATTAAGCAATGAAAATTGGCTGTCTCCCTTCTCTCCTTCTTCCTCTAGGGGTCTGAAGATTATGAAGCTGCTCTGTTGGAAAAGGAAGCCCTTTTGGCTGAGCTTCACTCAGAAAACCTCACCAAGAGTACAGAGAACCACAGATTGCAAAGGAGCATTAAGAAGGTCACCCAGGAGCTGTGCGACTTGCAGCAGGAGAAGGAACGACTAGAGAAGGACCTGGAAGCAGCCCATCGAGAGAAGAGCAGAGGAGACTGCACCATCCACGTGAGCACCCCTGTTTCCATCTGAAATAGTGGGCGGTGCAATGGGCTGTGCTGTGCTGCTGTTTATGGTCTTAGGGAGATTCATTGCAGAAAACTTAGAAAACCTGAGAAACATTAGGAAGAAAATGCGTCATTCATCTGATCACTTAGAAATGACCAGTTGATGTCTTAACTAGTTGATTTCAGTCCTTTTATACACTCTTTCTCACCCCACCCCCCAGGCATTATCAATCTGCAAATGTAGTTTTGCATCCATTTTTTATTTTATTTATTTATTTGTTTATTTATTTATTTTTGTTAGTCCTTACCCAAGAACATTTTTCCATTGATTTTTTAGATAAGAGTAGAAGGGAAGGAGGGAGGGAGGGGATGAGAGAGAGAGAAAGAAAGAAAGAGAGAAACATCAATGTGAGAGAGACACATCGATTGGTTGCCTCCCAGATACATGCCCTTGACCGGGAATTGAACCTTTGGTTCGAGGGCCGATGCTCTAACTCAGTGGTTCTCAACCTTCCTAATGCCGTTACCCTTTAATACAATTCCTCATGTTGTGGTGACCCCCAACCATAAAATTGTTTTCGTTGCTACTTCATAAATGTAATTTTGCTACTGTTATGAATCGCCATTGGAAATATGTGTTTTCCGATGGTCTTAGGCGACCTCTGCGAAAGAGTTGTTCCACCCGCCAAGGGGTCGCGACCCACAGGTTGAGAACCACTGCTCTAACTGCTGAGCAAAACCAGTCAGGGCAAGTTTTCTATCCATTTTTAAAATTCTGTGATCTTTCTTTAGTGTATTGCCATGTTATGAATTTTCTTCAAAAACATGTTTTTTTGTGTGCAGGCATAATATTTCATCCCTTGGATGTGCTACAGTTTATTTAACTAGTTTCTTATTGTAGGACTTTTAGGTTGTTACACTTTTTTTGGCCTTACAACAAATGCTGTAGCTAACATCCTTATACATAAATATTTATCCACTGATTTTTTTTTTTCCTGATAGAGGTATAATTATTGGGTAAGAGAATGTGAACATTTTAAGGCTGTTTTAGAGATATATTCAAGTTGTTCTCCAGAAAGATTATAGCATGTTTCCCTATATAAGCGATTTTTTTAAAGACTACTCTATTCAGCATCGGGTGTTAGCATCAAAAAATTCTCTCTGCACTTGGAAGAAAATAATTTATCTTAAAACATTTTTATTTTATATGTACGTATATATATATTTTTTCTTCTTTATTTTTAGAGAGAGAGAGAGAAAAAGCGATGAGAGAGAACATCGATTGGCCGCCTCCTGCATGCCCCCCACTGGGGATTGGGCCCACAACCTGGGCATATGCCCTGACTGGGAATTGAACTGGCCACCTCTTGGTGCGTGGGTCAACGCTCAACCACTGAGCCACACCAGCTGGGCAAAACAAAAAATATTATTATATTTAAACTTAAGTATTTAGCATCCTGAGAGTCAAATGCTGATACATAAGCCTTAGTGCTGTCAGGTAGGAGAACGTTTGAGTCTGAGTGATCATTGATACTCAGGTCATTGACACTCAGATTAGTTGAATTACCTGCACAGTATCTGGGGCAGAAAGAATCATTAGAGTAGAGAACTCAGAAGAGAGCCCAAGGTATCAGAGGTTAGTTCTCTGGTGGCTGCTGTTGGCAGGGATGTTAAGATCCATAGTTTGAAATCCTGATGGTAATGCTGATGAAGGAATTTAAATACATTGTAGTGAACATGAGAGAGCAATAATGGAAATTTAGAAAAAATAAAAAATCATAACATACCATTCTAATAAAGTAAACTTGTTTATCAATATCATCCCTCAGTGCTGGTGCCCCTGGATGCCAGTCTAATTAGAGTCTGAATACTGTCTTTGTTCTTTGATCACATGGGGCATCTCCCATGTCACTTCCTCTATCATGGACATCTCCCCAGGTCACTTCCTCTATTGTGGCATTTTTCTAGGTCACTTCCTCTGTCATGGCATCTCCCCATGATACTTCCTCTATTATGGACATCTCCCCAGGTCACTTCCTGTATCATGGACGTGTCGCCATGTCACATCCTTGATCATGGACATCTCCCCATGTCACTGCCTCTGTTATGGACATTTCTCCAGGTCACTTTCTCTGTTAAGGCGTTTCCCCATGTTGTATAGACTCCGGAGTGATTATGTTGAATGGTGCACACTCCTCGAATAGATTTCACATGATTTACTTAATAATTTCCTCCTCTTTTGGACATTTTGGCCGTTTAAATAATGCTATAGTGAACATCTTTGGTCATAAAGATGTTTTCTCTTTAAATCCGTAGGTAGATTCTCAGGAGTGAGATTACTGGGTCAGATGATAGAAATATATATATATATATATTTTTTATCCTCACCCGAGGACATTTTTCCATTTTTTGTTCAGATGGAGCGGGAGGGAGAGAGAGGAAGAGAGAGAGAGAGAAACATCCACGTGAAGGGACACATCGAGTGGCTGCCACCCGCACGACCAAGCAGGGCCGGGGACAAACCGCAACCGAGGTACGTGCCCTTAGCGGGAACCGAACCCGGGTCTCTCTGTACCGCAGGCCGACGCTCCAATCGCTGAGCCAAACCGGCCAGGGCAATAGAAATATTTTATACTAGTTAATCATGCTGCCAAATTATTTGTCCAAAACGTTGATTCAGTTTATGTTGCCACCAGCAATATTGGAGAGTATCAGTATATTGCATGTTGTTAGAAGACCTGTTCCCTCTATTTATTCAATGTTATTGAACACCAAATATACCTGGTTTTGATGCTAATGGAAATACAAGGCATGGCCTCTGAAAGTTTTGTTTTTTTAAGGGAGTTGAAAGTGTTATACATGACAAAATGCAAAGTAGTTTGGAATCCACAGCTAATTAATGTAGACTGTGTAGTCAGTGTAAATGATCTTTGTAGGATGGAGTAGTCAGGGATACCTTCCAGGAGGAGATGATCCTTGAGTTGATTGAAAAGAGTGAGGTCTAAATAGTGTGCCTTTATGGATGAGGTAAGGACAGAGGGTCCTTTTATAGAAGTACAGCTTTCATAGTCTATTTATATCCCTCACAAATTTTTTTAGGTTTATAAAACCTGTGGGGTAATAGGTTTTATATATATTTTTTAGTTTAAAATAGTTTGTTCCTTTTCTTCTTCATTGTCTTCTTAAAAATATTCAATAAAATTTGGATGGGGAATATGTATAGATATATAGGTATATGCAGGCACACATACACGTATTCATATATAAAATATGTAGTTTTTTTACATTATAACTTACTCTTGGCAATAAATAGCTAGATAGCTGCATCAAGAGGGTGTGCTGTAATTTATTTACCCGTCCCTCTGTTGTCAGACATTGTCGGTTCTATAATTCACTTTTCCATGCAAACTTTGGTGTTTCTAAAATAATTTTGGGCTGTAGTTGATAAAAAGCTGCATTCTTAGGCAAAAAGGGACATTTATTGTCTTGTAACTAAGCTGCTGGATGGACGGGTGACTGGGACACTGCCAGGACAGGGCCTGTCTCTCTGAGAGGAGGCTGCTTTCTCTTGCATCCACTTCCTCCAGTTCCAAGTGGCTGGAGCCATCCTGCCAGCTCTGCCGGGGTCACCTCTTCCCAGTTCCTCACACGGAGGGAGGAGGGCTCACACGCTGCTGTCCCCGCCGTCTCCCTGAGGACGGCCAGAGGGGTGAGCTACCGAGCGGCCAGCGTGGGTCACATGCCCATTCTTCTTTGTCAGAAGTGTGTGGCGCCGTCATTGTCAGATTCCCCAGGAGCCACATGTTTGGGGGGGATGAGGGTCACCCAGAGGAAGCGCTGGGCAGACCAAACCCACAGCTGTGCACTCTGAACGCTCCCCTCCAAACATGTGTGCCTGTGACTCGGAGCTTCCTAGCATCCTGAGACAACTTTTCTACATCAGGTCACATTTGTTTCTGTCAAGATGATGTGGCTGTGGTTTCTTTCTTTTTGCGTGTTATTGCATCACAGGTATTTCTGCTTGACTTCTGGTTGTATTCTAAGAATCTGGCTGTGTCCATCTCATATGGATGGTTCACGCCCGATCTTGGGGTCACTGGCTTGTTTGGAGTCTGGGGAAACGTGGTGGGGTGGTGTTTTTGCCTTAGGGTGCCAGGGTACCTGCAGAGGAAGAGCATGACCACCCACCTTGCATATCCGATCAGCTTTTTCTATTAACTAGGCTCTTCAGTTAACTGCAGCCTTCCACTCACCAGCTGCTGCTGCTGGTGGTGGTGTTTTTGGACTGAAACAAATAAACAGAAAACAAGACCTTCTAGTGTTTCTGCCCTGGTAAAGGAAAGGAACCATTCACACATTCAGCAGGCTCTTGACTTGGCATGGGGCAGTTCCACACGGAGGCACAGACAGAGTACCATGGGAGCACAGAGGAAGGGAGTGGCTTGCAGGACCAGAGCAGGCTCTGGGGAGAGGGACTTCTGAACTGGCTCTGAAGTTGGAGTTTAAGGTTGTGAGCGAGGCAGGGGTGAGGAGGGGGCTTTGCACGGAAGGTGAAGGTGCAGAGGCGTGAGAGTGTTGTTTTGGGGGAAACAAAATAAGGACACCCAACTTGAAGTATTCTGGTTATTTGAAGCTTTGAAAATTGTAACATTTCTTTCAGTGTTTTAAAAGCATTTTCAGGGTTTTATAGATAGTTGTGAAATTAAATGAAATGAAAAATAAAGATAAAGGCATTAGGGTGTAGGAAAGATAAGGGTGACTGGTAAAATGAAGTCAGTGAGTACGTAGAAATGCACGTTATAATACCCCTCGCAGTACTGAAGAGGGGACTTAACATTCAGCTGCTAGCTCCTGGCAGCACAAGTGAAAAGGGAAATTCAGTTACAAGGTCTCCAGTGTCTGTAAGATGAACATGTTAAGATAAAAGGACAGCTTTTGCCAGCACTCAGGCCTGAGGGAAGTACTGCCTCTGGTGGGTTTTTATAAAGAGTTCTCTGAGCA